CGCTGCAGTAATCACAAACTATTAGTGCAAATGCAAGATTTGCAAAAAAAAACGTCGAACTCTTTTTAAGCCCCTAGTAACCTCGTCAATCTTTGATGCCCTCAAGGTTAGGCCAACGCCTGTAAAATAGTTTAAATAGGACTAGGAAATCCGACTTCTTAGGAGGTTGCCTTTTTCAGAGTTCTGAGCCTCATCCCTCTGTGCTTTATCCTCGTGTTTGGCGGCGAGTTTCAGTTTCGTGGATAGATCGATACGCAACATAATGGGGGGTCACTGGAGTGGCTCACCACCCCGGAAATCCCCGACTCCCCTTCTCGACTTGAGAGAACTTCTTTGACTGAGTGCTGAAGTTCAAACGAATTCACTCCTTTCTACCCATTTAGCAATAGGTCCCGTTTGTAAGTAAAGGCGGTGAAAATCTGCGCATATTTTAACACATGCAAATGGGTGTTAGTCTTCGTACGAATCTGTAAATTGCCAACACATGAAGACGGGCAATTAGAGGGCTTTTAGGCATTAGGTGAGACAATGCGTGCGGGGAGGCCAGGGAATGTGCGCGGCGTGAATGGCAAGAGCACTTACACGAGCATCAAGCCATAAGTAGGAGAAGATTTTGAGCAAGTCCGCCAGCGCTCCCAAAGGACTTGAAAATCTCGCCCAGCTATCGCAAACGGCGATGGATGGGCGAAATGATTGCTAAATAATGCATAGCTCGTCTGAGGCGGCCTGTATGAGTTAAGTTGTCTCATTTGGCGGAAAACTGAGCGAAGCTATTGTTGGTCATTCACTTAGTCGTAAGTAACTGGGGGAAAAAGCTAACCGAAATCCGAGTTAAACACCATCAGTTATCTCCTACGAACTTCTGCATATTCCCAGAGGAACAAGCGCTTTGGCCCATTATCGTATATTTAGTACAAACTCGACATGGCAATGCCTTCAGGCATGAAATTGGCATATTAACGTTTCGCATGAATCATGAATGGTGCGATGGCATTGACAACTCGAAAACTGCGGACCACTTGACGAGACATGCGTGATATAAGCTAGGAAACGCGCATCATTCTGCGGTTAGATGTCGTGAAATCAGCCTGATGGGGGTTGCTTGCCAGAAAGCCCGCGGCACGAATCCGCTAGGGAAACTCCAACTTATGTTTATACAACAAAGTGGGGAAGACTCGCCAGACTCGATCAGCTGTTTCGGCTCGCCTTCATCGTGCTTGTAGGACGAAATAGATTTGTAAGCAGAAGCGAGCAGATTAAAAAGTGGCGCAAGCCAAAACAATAACGAAGGTAATTGCTGGTTGTTGTCGCAGCACAGTTTTCGTGCCTCCAACATCCATCTCAATGACAAGCCCCGTCAATGCTAATAAAAACTAATATCATTACAGCTACATAAGAGTTACTTGGATAAGTCGGCTAGCAGTTGAGGCGAGCTCATCATTATCATATGCACGCTTCCCTAGTATGAGGCTAGCGGGTCGTGATGCAGTCTTGTACTTTGCCAATTTCCCCTTATGAAATTAGCGATACATTCATGCAAGTTACGGGTGTCTGCAACGGATATCATATTGTTTTGGCCGAAAGCAACTCGAGATGAGTAAGTGTCACGCAATACTATGCATGAAATACCTTTTGCTGGGGTAAACAAAATTTTTTTTATGATAGGCAATTCATAATGACGCAAGTGTAGCAAAGTTTAAGATTGTGAACTATGAGACAAGCCGCAACGTATGTAGAGAACATGCAAACTCCAAAAAAGTCTAATTTAATCCGGACAAGTAAAAGAAGCGGGAGGAAGGATCTATATTGCAAGACAACTGAGGAAATTCTCTTGTTTAGATGTACGTTAAAGGGAATCCAGCATAACAATATTTACGAGCAACACGAAAATAGAAGGATGTTTCGTGAAAAAGAAGAAGAAGACTTACGTTCCATTCCTACAAATACTAGCATTGTTCTCCGAACAGATAACTCCTTCTTTTGAGCACGTTTCGCTCGTAGTACCGGCAATGAGTATCACATAAATGTAGGCAAAAAGGTAACGAGTTGAATTAATGCCTAATGGGGAATGCAAACGCATGTTTGACGTCAGCAATGTCGAAAAATTCGACAACGAAGACGACGTTTGTGAAATAACTCGAATGTTGGAGGTACGAGCAGACAGTTTGCGCGGTTTCATAGTCACGGGCAGAATTACTGCGGTGGGGGCATTGCGATCCCGCCCTCTGCTTTTGCCCGCCCCACCCCGGATATATGCAACAAATGCAAGCGTTCAGCATATCGTTGCGTTCGTCGACCAGAAACAGGCGATCGGGTAGAAGAGTGGAGGTTAGGGTAGCCGAGAAGACATTCTGAGCTTTTAACGTTATCTCGTACTTCCTAGTGCGGACTCGATCAAGGCAAGCAGCAGGAACCGAAAAAGTTCCCGAGTATGAGGTTATTTTGCTGGTGCATCAT